TTAGGAATAATGTGTTTGATAAGCATAAGTACCAACACTAGTTGATCCTATTAATTGGTAGATTTAGTTGTTGGAATTAATTCCAAAGTAGTTATAGTTAATGTTGTTTAGTTGTTGAAATAAGTTCAAATAAAGTTTAATTAACCCCTAGCTAGTTTGACTCATTATTTAAAATGATGTGGTTTAGTTGGTGGATTTAGTTGTTGGAATTAAGTCAAAATTGTTAAGAGTTAAAAAAAGTTGTTTAGTTGTTGAAATAAGTTCAAATAAAGTTTAATCAACCCCTAGCTAGTTTGACTCATTATTTAAAATGATGTGGTTTAGTTGGTGGATTTAGTTGTTGGAATTAAGTCAAAACTAAACTAGTTAAAGTTGTTAAGTTGTTTAAATAAGTTAAATTAAATAATGTGGTTTAGTTGGTGGATTTAGTTTTAAATTAATTCAAAACTAAACTAGTAAAAGTTGTTTAGTTGTTTAAATAAGTTCAAATAAAAATTATAATGTGGTTTAGTTGGTGGATTTAGTTGTTGGAATTAAGTCAAAACTAGTTAGAGTTAAAGTTGTTTAGTTGTTGAAATAAGTTCAAATAAATAATGTGGTTTAGTTGGTGGATTTAGTTGTTGGAATTAAGTCAAAACTAGTTAGAGTTAAAGTTGTTTAAATAAGTTCAAATAAATCATTTGGTTTAGTTGGTGGAGTTAATTCAAAACTAGTAAGAGTTAATATTGTTTAGTTGTTTAAATAAGTTCGAATAAACAATGTGGTTTAGTTTGGTGGATTTAAGTAAAACTAGTTAGAGTTAATAAGTTTAAATAAGTTCAAATAAATAATGTGGTTTAGTTGGTGGATTTAGTTGTTGGAATTAAGTCAAAACTAAACTAGTTCAAGTTAAAAAGTTGTTAAGTTGTTTAGATAAATTAAAATAAATAATGTGATTTAGTTGGTGAATTTAGTTGTTGGAATTAAGTCAAAACTAAACTAGTTAAAGTTGTTAAAAATATGTGATTTAGTTGGTAGATTTAGTTGTTGGAATTAAGTCAAAACTAGTTAGAGTTAAGGTTGTTTAGTTGTTTGATCGTTTTTTAGTTTATTTTGAAGTTGGATTTAGTTTATTTTGAAATTGGATGAAGTTTATTTTGAAGTAGATATGTATATGTTGAAAAATAGTGTGTTGGCAACTCTTTGGGCTGTATTCGCGCAATTTTAAAGTAAGAATTAAAGTTTATCCCTCAAAATTGAGTTTATGTAGCCCAATAATTTACTTATCCACAGCCCAAAGCTCCATTTTCAAAGCCCATGTACAGCACTCTACGCTTCCATTATCCAAATAGGAATCAAATCGGCGAATCCGTTTTCCATCTCCGCTGCTGCCACCGTCGTCACCAAGATGAAGATTGTCCGAGGTGTCTTAAGGACTGCCAACGCTTGCCTATCTCGTTATTCATCTCATCATCAGACTTTTTCTGCACTTCCGAATTTTGGTAGGTACTACTGTTTATTCAATTTTCTAATGAATTCCTTACTTTATCATGCTAATTTGTAGTTTCTCTAACTGAAAATGTGCAAATTTAGTTTTATTGACCTTATTTTGAATCCTATTATCGGTGTTCAGCAATTTTCTATTGACTTTACGCCAGAAAATGGAGGTGGCTGACCTCAAACTATTTAGATCTGGTCGGTTCTCGTTGTTCAGAAATTTCATTTTTAGTGTTTGAATTAAGTAGAACTGTGCACTCCTTAGCTCAACTTGAGATACGAATTGCCCTCCTTGAACTCTTTTGAACTTCAGGGATTAATCGCTTCTTAAATGAGCCTTGGTCAATATTGGTTTTCCTCATACATCTTCCAAGATCACTCAGGAAAAAAACTGTTTTAGGAGAAAACTGTTTAGGAGTTATTTCTCAAAAAAAAATATGAAGTTGTTTAGGAGTTTTAAATAGCTGAGCATGTTGAACATACAATGACAATCGGCATCCTGTGATTGGATAGTGGAAATAATTCTAACATGGTCAAGCATCTCTTGGATGATATTTTACTGGCTCACTAATCCTTCACAAATTGTCTGCCTTTCATATTGGACAATCCTAATTGACATTACTAATTTTCATCTTTAAGACGCTCTAGCTTTATCTGATTCTTCTTTATTGTGTAATTATGTGCTTCTTCATCATTGGTCATCATCACCTTTTTCATTATATGCATTTTATCTACATCCCTGGTAATGGACACAACTTTCCTTGTCACTACACAGCCTCTGATGATAAGCAAAGCACCAACTCATTTGAGTCTGCTGAAGACTTTGAAAGACGAATTTTTGGTGATAGTTCGGGTAGCAGGCCAAGTTCAAACTCCTTTTTCAGAAAGCTTGACGACGCTGAAAAGTCTTATGATAGATCTAGTATAGGCTCCACATTCAATTCTGGAAACAGATCTAGTATCCTTGATGGTCTAGATGAGAGTTTTAATACATTATCAGATGGGATGGATGGTAAGCTGAAGGAAGCAGCCAGCTATTTTCAGGTTGATCCTGATGAAGTAGACAAAGAAGATTATGCTTACAGAGCAGATATGACCTTTTGGCCCGGGAACACTTATGAACTCAAGGTATGAGTAATGAGCTACCATTTGTTGTATGCTTTTAACATCTTGAGTGTCAATTCCATGTAAGGATATGTCTCACTGTGGTTTTTGTATATCTTGTACCCATATTAGTGTTTCAACTTTCAACAGCTTCCATCAAACATTCAATTGTTTGGGCCTGCTAGAATTGTATACTCTTAAGTGTGTATTTCCTAGTACACCTCGTTTTCATGCTTTGTTCGCTGTTGGAAGGGCAAACTTATGGATGACATTAATTTGTTGCCATAGCTCAACATGTTCTCTTGCTCTATATTTCCTATGATGCTGTCATGTCCACCTCTAAGCTTTTCATTATTATCATGCAGGATCTTGATCTTAGAAAACCAGGAGTTCGCAAGCCCAAAAAAAGGGATGAATTTGAAACTACGACAGAGGAAGTTTTGCGCAAAGCTGATTTCAGGGTTTGTATTCTTTGTTCTACATCACTTTGACCATGTATGGCTTTAAAATGTATCCACATATGCACCCCAATGTCTGCACATGGAAACACCCTTGAGCACGTATATTACTTATTTGTTATTCTTAGCATCAGATCTCTGTTTAGTTTATTGTTGCTGAATATCATGTTCTAAGCACCGTGATGTTGCTTATAAACATAAAAGTAGTATCTTCCTCCCAAGTACTGCCTTGTAATTTTGGCCCATTGCGAGCCTTCTGACTCTTACGAAGTTATCTGATTTATACCTTTAACAAATTTGCAATACAGAATGTGAGATTCCTAGCTAACTTCATCACGGAGGCGGGAATTCTCCACAAGAGGAGCAAGGTTCGTAATCAAATCCATCGACTAATTTTTGACGATTGAATATGCAAGTGTTTCTTATTCTCTCTTTTCGGTCATGTATAGACTGGAATTAGTGCCAAGGCCCAAAGAAAGATTGCCAGGGAGATAAAAACTGCCAGAGCTTTCGGTCTGATGCCTTTTACAACCATGGGAACAAAACACTTTGTATTTGGCAGAACAATGGAGGACCTTGATGCTGATTATGAATATGAGATGTACGACCCCAATTTTGTCGATTCAGAAGCTGGTCGGGAACCTTTTTAATCCTTGAAAGAATACTTCTAGTTACCATTTGTTTTACTTGGTTTGTCCTTGAGAACATGTATTTCAGTTATTGCTAAGGGCAGATTTGCAGATGAGGAATTAGCATACTAACTCACTTTCATCCAATGAAAAGATGTTCTCACCCCCAAGGCCTAGCTCAAGTGGCAAAAGGTGGAGGATTTGTGGCTTAGGTCGCAGGTTCAAGCCCCACGCCATGCAAAGCGAAGCCCGGTATTTAAGTGGAGAAGGGTAGAGGGGCGGGCCCATTATCCACCGAGTTTAGAAGGCTGTGATTGGTCCAAAGGGCGGGTCACAGACGGATTTCTCGGTTATCAAAAAAAAAAAAAAAAGATCTCGAAATTTTGTTTCAAATTGCTACTGCTTCAAAGGACTGCCCTACATAATACGAGCTGGTATCATTGGACATTAATGATTTAGCTGTTGGAACTCTCCTCCTTTGGATGTTGTGATTTGGTTCATTTTGAGGATGTTCAAAATTAACTTTTGGCTCTACTTCAGTTTTCGTTACTTTAAACAAATAAAAAACTGCCTTTTTCTGCATAACCTTCAAAGTGAAGTCAATATAGAGTTCGTATGAGAATTGATGTAATTACTTACCTTGTGCAGATTTAACAGTATGTTTTAGCTCGACATAGACTCCAAGATTTTTCGTTTTTCTATCTGCTGTGATTTGGTTGAGAAGATTATTGTTACTAGGTAGGTGGACTCATTATCCATAGAGTTTTGAGCCCTCGTTAGCCTCGAGGATTTCTTGGTTATCAAAATAAACAAGCAATGTAGGAATTCTATTGCAAAGTCTTTTTTAGGAACTTTTGTGACAGTAGGCATAGGATATGAATTATGTCATGTATGAAATCTGTTTGCTTTGGTTCAGTTAAGTATAATGGAACATCAATTTCATTCATCATGTGTGCAATTGTTTGTGCCTCAGTGAAATTAATTATGTAATTTGTTGCTTTATCTTATTTAGGACAACGACTTGTTTCTTGGTGTGCATTTGATTTTTTCGGATTGATTTTATATTATTTGGTTTGGATCTTTTGGTTTTTGATTCATAAAAAATGTAATCCAATTCGAACTAAAATAATTAAGTAACATAATTAAAGTTATATTTGTAATTTCAAATAATCCTGAAAAAAATCAATTCTGTAGTCTTGTTATAGACTTGGATGGCATAAGTAAAGATCCAATACAACATAAGGAAATCATCTAAAAAATATGCGATGCATCGGAAGTGTGGGTTTTTTTTCAAGTGGTGAATCATGGAATTCCTCAAAGTGTTTTGGAAGAAATGTTGAATGGTGTTAGAAGATTTTATGAGCAAGATACTGAGGTGAAGAAACAATGGTATACACGGGATACATCGAAAAAAGTTGTGTATAATAGCAATTTTGATCTGTTTAAGTCTGCACCAGCTAACTGGAGGGATACTACTTATTGTAATATGGCCCCACAACCTCCTTCTGCTGATGAATTGCCAGAGGCTTGTAGGTATTTACTCGTTGATTTGAAAATTAGATGGTATATATAGTAGATGTTGAATTCCCCTAGCGTCTCCGTGTGTTTATTTCTTTATATTTTGAATATCCTTAGTGAAAATGCTGGCGGATTTCAACCATATTTTGAAATTTATGCCCAATAGTTAAGCAGATGCATTTTCAGGGTGTTCAAACAAAGTTCTTGAAGCTTTTTTCCAATATGATTTGTAGTGTTTCTGTTGTAAATTGTAGTACTCCCTCCGTTCCAAAAAGAATGGCCTAGTTTGACTTGACACCGAGTTTAAGAAAACAAAGAAGACTTTTGAATTTTGTGGTCCTAAATTAAAGTTATGTCAGATGTATAAAATTGCCGTTTAATCTTGTGGCCTTAAACATGCCACGTGGAGAGCTGAAATTAAAATGTTACCGAAAAAGAAAAGAGATTATTCTTTTTTAAACAGACTAAAAAAGAAAAATAAGTCATTTTTGAGGTATAGCAAGGCTTAATACTCTAAATGTCATTTGTAAACGTAATCAATAGCAGAGCCAGAGTTTTCACTCATCAACGTGAAAGAAGTAAATACACAAAGTCTAATGAACTGTTACGTACATTATTTTATTTTACTGCAGGGATATTCTGATCGAGTACGCGGAGCAAGTGAAGAAGTTAGGTCGTTTTTTGTTTGAATTACTCTCTGAAGCTCTTGGCCTCAACTCGAGCTATCTGAATGACATTGGTTGTTCGGAGGGGCTTGCTGTTTTGTATCATTGTTATCCAGCATGCCCTGAGCCAGAGTTAACTGTTGGAGTTGGCAAGCATTCAGACAGTGACTTCCTCACAGTGCTGCTACAAGATCATTTAGGAGGCCTTCAGGTTATTCATAAGAATTACTGGGTTGATATTCCTCCTGTCTCTGGTGCATTAGTAGTAAATGTTGGTGAACTTTTACAGGTAATTGTATTTTATATATTACGCACTTGTGGCATAAACTCATATATCATGCTTTTTATTGAGCCGAGGATTAATTGGAACAACCTCTCTACCTCCCAAGGTAGGGATAAGGTCTGCATAAACTCTATCCTGACCTCACTTGTGGGATTACGCTGGATTTATTATTGTTCTTGTTGTTGTTGTTCTTATGGCATAAACTCATATAGAAAGCATATCATGCTTTTCATTGAGTTGAGGGTCCGTCCTCTACCTCCCAAGGTAGGGGTAAGATCTGCATAAACTCTATCCTCCTCAGACCCCACTTGTGGGATTACATTGGGTTTATTGTTGTTGTTGTAGCTGCTCTTGTGGCATAAACTCATATATCAAAGCATGTCATGCTTTTCATGGGATATTTTTAGATTCGAATTTCTAATGTGCTAAACTCAGTATTGTTGGAAAATTTGCAGCTGATATCAAATGACAAGCTGAAGAGCATTGCACAGAGTACTGGCAAGCCGTGTTGGTCCAATAGTATCGGTGGCCAGTTTCTTTACCACGGGTCAGTCATTATCATCAAGAGTTTATGGACCAATTAGGGAGTTGTTATCAGAAGATAAATCCCGCGAGGTATAGGGAAACTAGTGTGAAGGACTATGCAGTTCATTATAATGCAACAGGGATAGGAGGGAAATCCGCTTTGTCAGATTTTAGGATATGAAACAATTGTTAGTCTGCAACTGTTTGATCCTACAATCAGTTATATATGTAACTATTGTGCTGGAATTAAGACATACAAGTGTGTCTACTGTTATGTTGATTTGGATTCTACTCATTGTGGCCTACTTAAACATGAGAGTTTACTATACAAGTGAAGTCTCAAGTAGACAAACAATGAACATGCATTGAAGAGTGAAGACCCTAAGGAAACAGAAATTCACATCAGATGCAAGTAATATTTCCTTAAAAGTATCTGCCGTGCATGACCTTAGATATGAGGTTGTTAGGTCACGAGGTTGTGGATGACACAAATTACAGTAAGCTGTTAGTAGTAGGGTGTTGTCTTGCTTATCCTTCATTAATAGTAATAGTAGTATTTCTCTAGTAATTTTTGTCCTATGATTTCTGTTACATTCTACTAGGGGGTGTGTATCGGTCGGTTCGGTTCGGTTATAAGTATATCGGTTCGGTTTATCGGTTTTCGGCTTTTAAATATGCTAAACCGATAACCAAACCAATAAGATATTTGTTATCGGTTTTCGGTTTATCGGTTTTAGGTCTTTAACGGTTCGGTTTTCGGTTTAACCAATAAGAAAATGCTTTCAAAACAAATATATGACTTATCCAATAATTTGACGCGATA